TGAGCTCTGTCGGGGCTTTCAATTAGAGTTGCGGCATAGGTAATTACAGCTGCCACGCCCACACAAACACACAGAGAGACATAGATGCAATGCAAAATAGCTATGCCTCCGTCTATCTGTCTCACTCTCTCGCTCACCATCTCCCCCCATGCCGCTCGCCAACTCTGCCCATCTCTCTCTCACCTAGTCACACATAGACATAGTCTGACAAATTCTCAGTTAACTTCCTTGGCATGTTGGCCACGTGCGGAAATTAAAATTCCAGTTGCGTCAAAAGACTAAAAAGCAACATGAAGCAAGAGCGAGAGAGACACCAAATAAAAAACGGCTGGCAACAAGAAGGAAGACGCATAGACGTCTTCTGTTTCCTCTTCTTCTGCTTCGTTTTCTTCCTCTCCATCTTCTTCTTTGCTTTGCTTTGCTTTGCAATTGTCTAGACTTGAGTCAAAGAACTGCGCCAAATTGTATGCTACGCTTTGTTACACGTGCATAAAAGTGTAGCTCGAGTCGTAGCGCAATCAACACTCCCCCTGAAGTAGATCATAGTTACAACTGTAGCACATACACACATACACACACATACATATATATGGCAGCTAAAGGTATCCATGACTTCAATTAGCTTGTTTTCATTTCGTTCATCGTTCATCGTTGTCAGGCTGTCGGGCTGAACCCATTCGCTGCTTGCCGCTCATAGCTCACAGCTCACAGTTCGAGTTCGCCTAATTAAAGTCCACGAAAAGTTCGTGTATTTGTACAAGCGCCGCTGATACGGCAAAGGGTCAAGAAACTTGGCAAAAGTTTTGGCCAAAAAAAAGGAGCAAAAAAATATTTTTGTTGACTTAGCAAATCAACGTTTCAAGGGATACAAAATTATTTAAAGGACTTTTTTCGATCACGCTTAACTCTTTAAAATTTAGCTTTGGCTAAGTCCAATTGAAGTTCTCTTTAAGTAAATTAAATGGAAAAATAGTGCAATAAAAATATAGTTAAGATTGTATTGATAACTTAAAAATTAGTCAGAATATTTTGCTTTTTATAACTATAATGTTACTGCCTTTATCTTCAGGTGGAATGCGGTAGAATATTACGATCAGTCTAAACATATGTCGTATCAGATTCTTCTGGTTCCTACATTCAATCCTCGGCGTTTGCCATTTCTTCGAGCTTCGCAACATGCTCACACAATACACACACACGCGTCAGCTACACACTATATTTATCTCACTCTAATACATTGTCAGGCCAAGGCTACGCAGATCAGACAAATCTACTGAGCTCGCATTGTCAAGTGGTTATTTAGACGAAAGGCAGAAAAAGGAAGAGGAAAGGAGAGAGTAATGGACATTCAACTTACGCAGAACCTGTCGTACGTGTTGTCGCCTCTTTTATTAGCGATGGGACATTACATTAGCGATCGTACTTAGATGGCATTGTTTGTATGTAACGATACAAATGCAATTAATCAACGGCGCTGCAACGCAAACAAAACTATCGAATACAGGCACGTGACAAAAAAGGACTTAAAATAATTATAATAGAATAACTAAACTGAAATGTTTATAAATTGAAAATAAAAAAGGAAACTCATGTGTCTATAAACAATCAAGATGTATGTAAATATTTCTGCACAGAGCATTTTATTTTCTTACTCTTCAAATCAATCAGTTTTAATAAAAAAATTATTCCAGTTATAATATACTATATTTGTCATATTTACTTAAGGTTTTAACATTTTTTTTTATATATTTTATATTTTTTTCGAAAGGCTCTAAAATTTGGCTGCTCTTAAGGCATTTGAAGTAGCTCTGGGCAAAGGATTCCGGCATACGTGAGTCGTACAAGGACCACACGCTGAGAAGCGGAAGAACTGTGGGCTGTGGGCAATCCATTTAGGTCTGGTAAATGTTTATCAGCATTTCACAGTTGCGTCGAGATATGCAAGGGCCAAATCATTTCTCAGCCACGTTTGCATTGCAAACATACCTCACTCGCTCGCTCTCTCTCGCTTCTCTCTCTCTCTCTCTCTCTCTAGCTTTCCCTTTCCCTCGCTCTCTCTCGCTAAAACATAGCTGCGTGTGTGCGCGCAACCTTTGGCCGATTAAACATAAATCCCTATAAAGCAACAAAGTAAAAAATTGCCAACGAGCCAAGCTAAAAACTTTGGCAAAGTGCTCAACGTCTTTGCCGACCGATACACCCGCCCGCCCACTCCTGCACTCCTGCACGTTCTTATCCTCAGCCTTGTCGTCGTCGTTGACAACGACGTGCGAGGCCTTTGAAGTTGTGTTGCGATTTGGCTGGGGGCGTGGCGCGCAATTTATATGCCATGCACAAGATCATTTCTGTTGGGGCATTAAAAACTTAAATAGTTTTAATTCGCCTCAAATATGCAGCAAGGCAAAGCCAGCCTGCACTATGCGCTCTATGGCAACACAGTGCGTATGCTTAATGCCGCCGCAAGTGTTTTGATTAGCCAGGAGGGAGAGAGGAGCTGTTCTGTTTGTCCTTTAACATTAATAATATGCAATGCTTGGCTTGTCTTTCGCTGGCAAAAATTTAAATAAGGATAAGGCAGAAGCTGCTGCTGCGCGGCCAACGAATTGATTTGAATGGCCGCCGGGGCAACTGCCAAGAATAACAATAAACATTACTATCTGCTTCATTGGTTATTTGCTTTTGTTGTTGTTGTCGCTGTCGCTGCTGCTGTGTGTCGAAGGCAACAAGAACATTTTAAAAGGCAGCCGCAAAGGGCAGGCGCAGACAGACGCTGTTTATAAAGCAATATATATATCAGCTAGCAGGGGGAAGGTAAGCGAAAGCCAAGCCAAGCCAAGCCAAGCCAAGCCAAGACCCTCCCCACCCCACCCAACTCACTCGCATCGAATTGTATTGAATCAATATTTTTGGCCTGCAGTGTTTGTGCGTGGCTAGCGTCCAGAGCCCAAGTTCTGGCTGGCTGCAGCTTCAGCTCTGCAATTCGTGGTGAGTTTTGCGGCAGCAGTCAGCTGTGTGTTGGGTTTGTTGTTTTCAAACAGAGCGCCGACGCGCTGCGTGAGAGCATTAACCCGTTTAGCACAGTTTACAGCTGTTATATGCAGCGGCACGCAGCTATACTGGGAACAGATAGCTCTTATAATTTCCGTTAACAGTTCAATTTATGCGAGTGTATGTGTATGCCTGTGTATGTGTGTGGGGAAGCGGAAACAAAATATGTAAACAAAAAGCCATTGATAGTGCTTATCAAGACAGCAGCTGTAGCAAAATACACACTCGCCGAGTGGTAAGTGAGAAGCTAGTGATAACTGGGTGTTAGCTGCTCGTATAAGATGAAGACGAATGGCACTTGAGTTATGGAAGAGAGTTAAAACATAATTAACTGGTTTTTATACTATTTAGAAATTGTCTTTAATCCTAGACTTTACTTACCAAATTTAACAGGTCCTAAAATAAATTGCATTTTTTTAATATTATTAAATATAAGAATTAGTTTTAGAAAAAGTTTAGAAGTAAATTAATATAGTATTAAAAAAATTATTTTTATTATTAAAATTAATAACTATAATTATAAGTATTGTAACGGTTTTTGTTATTTTTTATTAAATATAAATTTAATGCTATTTGGTTTTTTATTTTTTAATGATTTTATGAGTTGTAATACTTCCAAAAATCATAAAATAATCTGATAAAATAAAAATTGTATATATTCTTATTTTTAATTTAATTAAATATCTTAATTATATAATTTTGTTTTATATTAATTTATATACGCAAAATCGTCTCATATCAAATAAATAAATATTTTGGTTTTTTCTACAGTTAATTTTGGTTAAGCTTAGTATCTTTGCTTGCTCTTTATTTAGTTGCTTAATTTTAATTTGATAACCCGCATTTATTATGCATTTTTACGGCGACATATAAATCACATACCGCAAGGCACTAAAAATAAAAATCAAAATCCTAATAGAAATGAAAATAAAAGCCGAAAACGAAAACTCTTTTCGCATTCGCTCTCGCTGAGCGTTGGTAATTGCGGCTCTCTCGCGCTCTCGGTCGGCGCTGCAACGATAGCTCGGAATGCGCCTGCACGTATAACAGTTTTCGAAAATACGAAGACACGAGGAATCCAACGAAGACAAGGCCGAGCACGCTGCCGATGATAACGACGACGCCGTAGCTCTGCCCGGCAGGCAGGCAGGCAGACGAACGCCTGCTGAAAGTCGTCGGAGCGTTGCGGCCAAGCAGTCTCATAGCGTACGCCGTTAACGACAGACACAGCAGACACAGCGTGAGTTCCCATACACGCAGACGGACGGGGTGTTGGCGTCGTGCGTGGCGCAGTTCTTGTTCATATTTTAATCGCATTGCCGTTGCATATTTACCGCTGCACAGCACAAATGTAAAACAGAGCAATAAAAAAAGAAGCCGAAAATCTAAAAATAAACTAAACCAAGTGACCAGTGAGCTGGCAACGCTACAAATTTGCCATTTAAAGTGGTTCAAAACAAAAAAAAGGTAGCGCAAGACACGTGCTAACTGTTAAGTGGGTATGGTAGACGCGCGTTTGCCGGGCAGACAACGCGAAAGCCGTAAATTTCGCGTGAGAAACTAGCGTGGGGAATGCATTTAGCACGTGAATTTCAAGCTCGCAAATTGAGCTAACAACGCGACAACAACAACCGTAGCGAGGCAAACGACGACGACAACTTGAAACATGTGTAAATGCTAACGAGCGAATAAATGGGAAATGGGAAATGGGGAAGGCGCTTGACAAGTGTAACGAAATTTGATTGATTTTGATTGACATGGCACTCAGCAGCTGTGGCCACCCAGAAGTGAAATTCGAGTGAAAAGCAAACACAAATTTAAAAGCAAGCAAACAAAAAGTACAAGAAAAAAACCGAAAAACGAAAGAAATAAAGAAGAAAACTGAAACTGAGAAAACTTAAATTTAGTCAGAAAATGTTATATATATATATATATACAGTAATAAGTGCGAACAACAGAAACCAATAAAAGTTCAGCTCACATAAAGTAAGATTGCAATAAAATATATATATAGCTACTCTATATATGAAGCTAATCAACTGCTGCGCACAATAAAATCGTCGAGCTAAGCTACTTTTTTCTTGAGTTTTTCCCTTTTCTGCGGCGGCTGTCGCTCACTTTTTTTCATTGCCTGCCATCATCTTCCGCTTGTGTCCATGTATGCGTGAGTGTGTGCGTGAGTGAGCTTGTAATTGCGTGTGTGTTTGCCGGCCAGTCATATAAAAAGGATAAAATATTTGCGCATTGATTTTCGACCAACGCAAATGTGACAGCAACAAAGTGGATCAACGACAACAACAACTTTAACGACGACAACAAGTTTTGGACACCCAGCTTACTAGGGTATGTTATTTCTAATTTCTGCTGAACATTAACACTACTTAAAGTCCTATCTATATGTCTGTATTCCCACTAGCCCCCTCTCTCTCTCTCTCTGTCTGCCTCTGAACAATATTGCCAGAGTTTTGAACTTTTTATGCACAAGCTCTGCAATAATGCTTCAAGTTTGTCTTCAATCCACATCCAAGTCGTGTATATATAGATTTGTATGTTTGCATTTGCCTAATTATGTCGACTGGCGTCGGCCATTTGCTTTTGGGCTTATTGAAAACATATTTTTAGTTTATTCAACTTTGAACTGCGACGAAAAGTTTGGCAATAGCAAAACAAGTTTCAGCAGTAATAAACAGAAGTTGATTATATTCTGGCCGTATTAGTCGAACAACTAGATTTGTCATATAAATAATATATGGACTTACTACAAGCATGCGAATAAGTTTATTTATAGCCGCAAAGTTCTTTTATTATATTGAGTAAGAGTTGCTGAAATTAGTATTTAATGTGACTTGAAGGTATAGAAAATCTTACTTAAATATTAGAAAATTGCATCAAATTCAATTCAATTCAATATACGTATTATAATATAGAAATACACATAGAACGTCTTCTTTACCTCGGGATGACGCCGTTTTTATGTTCTCCTTCAATATTGAATATTTCCTATATCATTTAAGCTTTAGTCCTACATTATTGGACTCTGTTTTATTCTTCTTTAGGTAAAACAAGAAGGAAAAATAGAATATTCAGAGCATATTTAAGCTTTATGAACTACATATGAATGATGCTAGCTTAGGCTGAGAGCAAAAGACTTTGAACTATCATACTATAGCTAGTTTTTAATCTAAGCAAGTTTATATCAATATAAATTATATCTATTATTTATATTAAATTAAGTTTGTTGTTAAGTTTACAAGTTATATGTTGGCCGAAGACTTTCAATTTGAATACTGCTAATTAACTAAGAGTCTCTTAAGAAATATATTTGATTTCGGCATATTAACGTTTTGATAACCTAAATAGAAGATCTCATCAAGAAGTACTCAAGAAAAAAATGAAGAAAAGGAGACTTAATTTAATAGAATAACCTAACTTCGAAAATTCCCAATGAAACACAACTCAAAATCTAATTTTTACACTATTCTGAAAAGTCTAAACTAAAAATCAAAATGTGTTTCAATCTTTGATCTACAACTTGATAAAGTTGGCTTAAATATATATCCTCATGCTATACACTATTGAGCATAAAGGTTTTCCAAATTCAAATTAAGTATTTAACTAATCCAAATATTATTTATTTAATATTCACCTAAATGGTTTGGCCTCAACCTTTTTTGAAATTTACATATTCAATTAAAGTTTATTTTTGGCAAAAGCTTTTACAGGTATTTATATTTAATTGGGCGATTAATTAAGTTTAATTTGAACGTATTTTTAGCGTTTATCTCTAATTGATAGTTTTTGCAAATACTTTTACGGGTTGGGGTCGATTATTTCCAGACCTTTTGCAGTTGAATGAAAATTTGGGCCCCTTTTCGTTCGCATGTCGACAAATTAAAACTCGTCCCGCGCAGCCCAATAAAAAGGCAAACACAACCCTTTTCATAGTAATTTTAATTAACAACAAGCCAAACATACATTAAAAACAAAACAAAACAAAATAAAAAAAAGAAAAAACAACAAAAAGAAAAACAAAAAATGAAAATGAAAATAAGTTTTAAATGTTTGCGCTGCGGCTCAGCATATTCGAAGGTGGAGCGAAGCCACAACAAAAGCGGGTTGCGGGTGGCTGCTGGTGGCCTGAAGTGCCTTTGCCACCTGTAAATATTTGGTTGCCCACGGAAAACTTATACGCCCAAGAAGAAAGGCGGCTGGCTGCTTTCCCGGGGCATTGGCTTTTCAGCATCGGCAGCGGCATCAACATCAGCAGCGGCATCGGCATCGGCTGGCGTGTAAATGAGAAAATTCATTATTTAACATTAATTAAGGCTTATTATGCACATTATCAACACAGAGCGGAACCAACACACTCACACACAGTCAAACCGCATTAAATGTCAGCATGAGACGACCACACACCGACACCCACACCCACCCACAGAGACAGACATAGTGAAAATGTGTGGGTGGACAACTATCACCCATGAAAATTCACAGCAATGCGAAGGCTAAAAAGTAAACGTTCATAATTCAACGCGGGGAGGCAAAACGCAAACAGGAAGTGTAATAGCCACAACAACAGAAGCAGGAGCAGCAGGAGCAGTAGCAGGAGCAGCAGGAGCAGCAGGAGCAAGGCAGCCTATTTAAATTATTCAGTAAATTGTTAAGTAAATAACATGAGAGAGGCACGTTAAAAAGGCAACAGAAACAACACAAACAACAACAATAACAAAGCCAAAATGGCTTCTCATCCTTGTCGTCTGTCTAGGGGGTAGACAGTTAGTTGCCATATGAAAACACACGTTGCTGATGGCTGTTGATGATGATACTAATGCTGATGATAATGACAATGCTGTACGACGCGTCGGGCACAGCTCACTGGGCGCTGCTCTTAAATGTACTTCGTACAATAAAATCAACACAGAATGTGTCTGAAAAACACGGCGAGCGTCAGCCCCCCAGATGTGTGTGAGGACACACAGGTAACTGAGTAACTCAGTAACTGGGTAACCGAGCAGCTGTGTCCACACAGTCAAAATGCTAGAACGGAAACTCTGCATATTTGTGTCGAAAACTATGCCTGAAAAAGCAGCTGAGAATCGAACTTGGCCGAGACCACAGCCAGCAGGCAGCTCAGTTAAACAACAAGCAAGCATTTTGCAATGCTAAGTGTACGTCAATAGTCACGGAATATATTAAAGAATTGCGCAAGAATACACTGTAAGCAATGCACTGCAAGAAATGGGACGTGAAGTGTCGTATAGAAACCTAAGGTTAGTCAGAGAAAAGTTTCTTTGAAGTAAATATATAATTTGCAGTATATCGATCATTAATCGATAGTTATCGAATGCAGTAACTGCTGCTGATATCAGAATGAAGCAAATTTACATATTTAAAATGCTTTCATATCAAGATACACTGCTGGGCATTGAAATATATTTTATTCATTTTATTTTACAAAAGTCTTGATTCTGCAATTTAATATTCGAGAAAAAGGTTTAAAAATTTAACAAAATTATGTTTTTTAACATTTTAATGATGTTCTTAATTTTAAAAAAAAAATATTTTAAACTTTAATGTTTAGTTAAAGTAAGCTGTCGAATACTCCCGTTCGATCCAATACATTTTCATACGCATGCGAAACGTCGCCAGCTAAAGCCGAACATAGAGCGACCTGCATATATTCGCTCAAACAAAACTTTTTATTTACTCAATAAACTCAAATATTTTGATAACAAAATAGCAGAAAATATTTGTGCTTTTTTTTTGTTTTTTTGTTTTCTGTTTTCTGTTTTGCATTTGTTCAGAGTTTCCGGGGCAGTTGAATTCCCGTAGGGCATCAAATCACACAAATAAAAATAAAAATAAACAAAACTGAAACTATTATTTAAAGCAATAAATTGGGCCGAAAGAATGTGGAACTGCGCAGGCTAAAATAAAACATATTCATTTATGTTTTCATATTTATGAGTGTATAAATATTTTGTTAATTCATAAATGGAAGTGGAAGACTAACAACAAAAATTAGAATTAAATTGAAATTGAACATTGTTTATATCATATGAATAAAAATTATAAAATATATTATAAGATATTTTGTATATAAAATATACGGACATAAACTTTATATTGTATGCGAATGCTGATGAAATAGAGAGTGAATAACTTAAGAGGCAGTTATTGGGAGAAATTTAAACTAACAAAGAATGTATATACATAAAAATATGAAAAAATAGATGAATATATTATATATTCTTTCAATACATTAAAAGCCATAATAAAAATCATTTTTTATATCAACCTGCGCTTCATTCAGTTAAGCTCGAATATATTCCATGTTATTCCAGCTATAGTTCTACAGGTTTTTTCTACTGCTGCTACGGCTGCTTTATTCTTCTTAAAATACAACAAAATTTGATGCTGCACCACTCCATATAATATTTTTTTAAAATATTGCAAAAAATACTTGCCAAAAGAAAGTGGCCAAAAGTCATCAGAATAGCGCTATCAACGATAATTTCATGTTCCTTTTGTACGATTTTTAACAATATTGGGTTTCAATACTTTATATATTATTTAATACATTTTCAACGGAAATTGAAAATATAGACCACTGCCATTGTTGGCAATGAATACATTTATTTCAGAAATTAGTGTTAAAAGTGCTAAAGAGCAGTTTTTAAAAGTTTTCGCAGTTCTTTCCATTCATAAAATAAATTAATTCAAAGATTTCATGTGCCTTTGGGTTTGGTAGCAAAATCTTATCTTAAGCTTTTCTATATAATAAAATCTAAATAGGCAAAGCATTAGAATAGAAAACAGATATCATGGTTGTCATTTTTATTTTAGAGTATTAATTAATATTTATGAAACCTTTACATTATTTCAGTTTTTTCAGCGAAAACATCACATTTCTACAATATCAAGATCCGTATATATACTATATACTGTATAAACATATACTTAGTAGTACTTATTGAAATATTTGCATGTGGGCACATACACATTCGTTGGAGTGTTTCAACAAGCACACACACACAGAGAGAGAGAGAGAGACGCAAATGACATGCAGAATAAACAGCGATTGTTGGGCCACTTTTGTGGGCCACACCCTTTTATATACGGTCTAATTTTATGGCCGAGACAGTGTTGAACAGCAGTGTTGCAAAGTGTTGAGAAACGCCATAATTTATGCGGGCGGGCAAAAATGTTTGCATAAACTACATATACATATATGCAAAAATATGCTATGGACACCGGCAGCCAAAGCAGTTTGAGGAGGAGTCAGAGTAGCAGCAGGAGCACCAGCAGCAGCAGGAGTTGCTGCCAACGCATTCAGATTTGCCAAGTTAGATTTTGGAAAAGGCGGATGGCGGGTGACGGGTGACGGCCGTGTGTGCGGAGGCATATCTGGCACATGTGTGCGTGCCGCAGGCTGTGGAGACCCGGGCAGCTAGCAGCCAGCAGCCAGCAGCAAATTTGCCCGGGCACATTAACCAAAATTGATTTTCGATTTTTTTTCCTGCCCCAGTTCAGAGGGACGTCGCAAGTTTTCTGGGTTAATATTCTAAAATATCAAGGAAGCGGCAAATAGATGAGAAGCAGCATTAGAAAATAAAGCAATTTGTTACGAGTTGTTGCTGCTGTTGTTGTTGTCAGTTTTGTTGCCGGCCAAAGTTTGATTAGTTTGTTTTTGCCCGAGCTAATGTTATTAATGTTTTTATATAAGCTTACTCGAGCCGTAAGTTGATCGATGCCAATGGCCACATGGCTGTTGTCAACGTTCGTTGGGTTTTTGCTAGAAAGTTTTGGGCCAAAGTTTTGGCCAAGCGCATGCAAGTTGCGTGAATACCGCCAACGGCTAATGGAGCACCCATAATTTCCAGCCACTAGTTGGCCCCTTTCAAGCACTGCAGCTGCACTTTGGCAGCCGTCAAGGGCGTAAAGGTTGAATGCTTAATAAGCCAAAAGTGGTCACAAAGTGCTTTGGCTTAACCTTCGCAGTTGATTTTCGTAATTGGCCACTGCAAATCTCTCAATAATGTGGCCAAGTATTTGGCCCGAACCGTTTAATGGGCCGCCGCACTTTAATAATAGGCTTAATTTGCCATTGCCACAGTTAATTGTGCGCTTTAAAAAAAAACCTATCAAAATATGTAATATATTTTTGTGTATTTTTTTTTATAAATAATGAAAGCATAAATATTTTACAGCTGGCTCATTAAGCTTGAGCGAAAACTCTGCAGCTTGCATACAATTAAGGACCATATGCAAATGGCCACGGACTAAATAGCTCAGACATAATGAATTGTTTAAAGTGCATTTACAAATTGATTGAATAATTCAAACTGCAGTTGGGCTGTGTAAATTTATAAATTGAACGCGATTTTGTAGGCTATTGAAAATTGGAAAATATTGCAATAGTGCGACATTTTTTTTATATTTTTAAAATAAAAATATATAATATATAAAAATATATAATTGTTATCTTTGTTTACCAAGTTGCAAATTTACAAACTTTTTAAAAAAAAATATTTATAAATTTAAAAAAATATACTTCAAGTTTTCATTTTTAAATTAGTTTAGGACATATAAACGAAATATGTTTCAAAAGTTTCGCAAATTTTTTTCTTGTGGTCCTGTTTGGCTGCATTTTCGCAACAGTCTCTATATATAAGGCATAAGTAAGGGCATTGCTGCCAATATAATAACATAAATTTGGAATAACAGTTATACGTGTGTTATGTTCATCTAAGTTTGACATAACTAAATATAAGCTTATCTTAAAATAGTGCTTCTATTTTAGAAAACATTTCCTTTTAAAAGAGAATTAGAAATATATGTATATAATATATATTTATATATCTATATATATATATATTTGTAGAACTTGCGAGACGGCAGCTTGTCAAAGTTTTGTGCAGTTCCATTGCTTTGCCATGCTGAACTCCCAGTGGGCTCAATCAACGCTCTGTGCCCCATTCCTGAGCGCGTGCCAAGCCTGCCCACATCCTGGCTGGTGAGCCTCAAGCTGACCATGACGAAAATAAATGGCCGTGCAAAATGCCAAACAAATCAGTCGCAATTACGCGCCCGCGTGGCCCCTGAAGAGAATCAGAGAAAGAGAGTGTGAGGTGGAGTGAAAAATAAAAAGTAATGCAAAAAAAATGAGGCCAAGGGTGAAGATATTGTGTGGCGGTGCTGCTGGTGGTGGTTGTGGGGCCCATCGAACAAATGTAAAACATTAAATAATTTCATTTTCTTTGACGTAATGCGCCGCAATGAGCCACCAGCTCAATCAGAAAGTTAAGCAAACAAATTGCAAAATGAAAACAAGCAGCAAAAAGCTGAATTTATATACACAATTTTTGTTTTGTTTTTCTGCTTTTGAACAACTTTCGCTGTTGCTCTACGCCTTTGCGGCAACAACAATGCGAGTGACGGTAGACAAAGGGAGAGGGGCAGAGAGATCGGGCGGTAGAGCCAGTGAGAACAATACACAGCAAGAGCTTTTACTCCATTCTGAGGCAGCGAAAGCAATTTCCGTTCGTTAAACCTACATTTCGAAATTAAATTTCTTACACTTGAAAAGTTCGCAGCTTCAATATTGCGAGGCGTTTTTCATTTGCCTCGGCGGCAGCGCAATTATGCTCTGTGTGTGCGGCCCGCCTGGACCCCGCACATACACGCCCAGTCAGCCAGCCAAACAGCGGGGAGGTGGCGTTTAAGCCACACACCAAACCACAGCGCACGAGCCAGCCAAGCGCCTCGCAAGTTGAGTTGTAATACGGCGTCGCCTTTAAAACTTTGCCAAAGCAGTCCGACAAAAAACATGAAGAAGAAGAGGAAGGCGATGGAAGAAAATCATTAAAAAATATGTACAAGCTGCAAAATATACATGAAAATATTATGTAAACAGCGCAACACCCAAAAACTGCCCAAACACACATACACACTCACAGACACACATACACACACACAGACACACATATAAATGTTTATATACAGAGCCACTCATTACGACCTTCGATCCGTAGCAGCAGCAAGAAAAGTTCGACGCGCTGTTTGTAAACGCGGCCGCTGCTGTGGTCTTTACCATATTTTTTTGATACCCTGAACCCATTGGAATTGGGAATACGTGGTATAATGATTTGGTTAGAATATATGTAACAGGCAGCAGGCATGGCAGACTTGGTAAAGTTTATAAATATTTGATTTGTACAGAGAACTGTTTAGATCTAGTCATATACGTCTGTCTGTCTATCGTGTACTAAAATAGCTATAGACCAACATAGATAGATATACCGAAAAAAAGATAGATTCATAGATAGATAATTAGATATTGATAGATAGATAGATGGATGCATCAATAGAAATATATATAGATAGATATATTTGTTATGATGTTCAGAAAATTTGATTTGGAAAGTTGAACTAGAATAAAAGTTAATCAACAATTAACTGTGTGTATGTAGTTATTATGATGTGAAAAACAGCTTGACGCCGTGTATCAGGGTATCTCCAAGTCAGGCACTCTCATCTATGCAGCTCTTACTGGTTTTTTGTGCCGAAATTGCTGAGTATTAAATATCTATTGAGTCGAATATTGTGGCATAAATTGAGGCGCACTGAAAATACTCGACAAAATGTTGCTTGTTTTCCATTATGCTTTGCGCTCTACACAATTTTCGAATTGTGCTGGCCAAGCGTAATATTGTTGTTGCTTTTGCTTTCTGTCCCAATTTTTTGTTTTGGGGCTTAATTGAGGTATTATTTGTGTCATCGATTAAGGCGTCTTTTCAACGACCTGTGTGTTCGTTTGAGTGCCTTTTAAAGTAACTTTCTTGATTTTGCAATCTGGTTTTTCAGTTTCCCTGCTCATACAGACAGCTCTATCTGACTCCACATAATCTGCTTAATTTATATGAAACAAAGGAAGAGCAAATTGCGTTTCCCCTGCATGCAGAGACGAGATAAGCCCAAACAACAAGCCGGGCCACGAAATTAGAATAAAAAGGGCAACCGCTGCCGGACCAAACTCGAGACCGTCAATAAAATCTCGTTTTTTATACATTTTATTTGCATGCTCTTGGCGAGGACATGAGAATTATAGCCGGGGCGGGCAATAAAATTGATATAATGTGAATGCAATTTGCTCGACTCTCTCTCTCCATCTATGCGTATATCAAAGATATTGCGTGTTAAATTTAATACCTGCCAAAAGAGTCAGACACGCAGAGAATTAGGCGCTTCCACGAAGCCAATAGATGGGCTTAGTGCGAAACGAAAGTTACTTTTAAGACTTCAATTTCAAAAGGCTGAATATTTGCACGAGTCTTGTCTACACGACTCCTTCAGGCGGCTCAGCTGCTAGTAGTTGGCATACAGCCACTGCCATTAAATAGAATATTTAATTTTATTGTTGTTCTTTTCTTTTTTTTTCTGTTTTTTTGGTGCCGTGTCCTTTGCCCAAAATACGTCATACAAAGGGTCAGCCTGGGCTGAGCGACGCGCATATTTTGGGGCTTAGCTACAAATTTAAATTCCGTAAGCATCCCGAGCACATATTTGCATATTGTTCACTTTACATTTCCAAAAATGAAAAAAAATATAGCTTAACGACAATTTTTTTGCTCGTTGTTCGTTTTTCGTTTTTGTCTCTTATGAAGCTGTGAATAAGGAAAAGTTATAAACATTTCTAATATGAAACCCCTTTCTTTTGTGCTTTGCATTTTGCCATTGCAGGTTACAAGAGAGGGTCTAAGCCGAGTCTGATTAAAGCGATAAAGGTATGTACCAACTTCTCTGCAGCAATTCAGAAGTCTAAGTTGACATGGTCTGAATGATAGAATGTGAGATACGCAGTAAATGAAAAAATATTGGAACTGTTCATAATATTTGTTATACGGTAAAGGACAATCATAATTTTTATTATTAATTCTGGTTTTTAAGTATTAAAAAAGAATTCAATTACTACTTGAATTATTATTTATAAACATTAAGAAACTATTAACTAATAATAATTTTTTACTAATGTTAATTAATATTTAGAAAAATTAAAATCAAAACATTTTGTTAATATTCTATTATTTTCAATTAACTTGTAATATACAATTAGCACTTTTTATTTAAATTTTCTATTACTCTTATAATTATATTTTATAATATCTATAATTTATATCAATTTATATTTCCCAATTTCTTTTCTTTTTATCTATTAATAATCGGAATCTTATGATACTTTATTTTGCCTTTTAAGGCATCTTGATCGAAACCTTTTAGTAGTCCCATTTATTTTGCGAAAGGTAGGTGGGTTAGGCGGGTAGGTGGTTAGGTGGTTAGGCTGTTAGCTGGGTCGGGAACGTTTGTTATTTTTGCTTTATGCAAATGGCATTAAATATGCAAATCAGAAGCTGCGTCTGTTGCTTTGAAGTGACTTTTAATTTTTGTTGTGTTTTTTGCATTCATTTCAAGTTGGTTTTGGTGTTGGCGTTGGCTTTCATTGGGCCTGTCATAAATGGCTGTCTGTCTATTCGGCTTGCACCTGGTGTCCTCTTTGTTCTTGCTATTTGGGCATTTAATTCATTTATTTATTTATGAACATTTTGTATGCATATGTGCCTTGGAGGATGGGGATGGGACGCGCGCATAACCATTCGTCAAAGTTGCCTGGCCATATTTCATTGAGATTTACGAAAATAATATTTATGTACTTGCGGCTCGGCGGCGGCACAAACAGAATTTCGATTTTGGTTTATTTAATCAACGGCAATGGAAAATGCGGCTGAAAAGCGTTGACCATGTAAAAGGTGCGCTGACAAATGGCCAGCACGATAAAAACCAATTTGATTTATGAACAGCTTAAACATGGCTGCCATGTTAACGCCGCAATTGTGGCCATATAAAAATGAAGTACACTTTTTGTCAACGCTGCTGACAACTGCCTGGCAGACACTGGCCAAAAGCTATGAACCCGCCCGCCTAACAAGAGCAGCAAAACCGTAGCCAAGTGCGTGCGGGCACAGCAGGTGCTCAACTGTGACCACATTTTATTAAAGCCAGGACAGAGGCAATAAAACGAAACTTAAAATGATTTGCAACCAAGTTGTTTTGCTGTGATACACTTTGGCCTTAGTTGGCCTAGAATCGTGTTCAGGCAACTGCAAATGGCTTGTGAAACAGCAATTCACTGCAATTTTATTGAACAGCTTATTTCACCTTTAACATTGCTGTGATGTAATCTATAGTTATTTAAGTGTCGAGAGGATATTTAATATTAATATTTAACACAACTAACTAAAATATTTTGTTTAGCTTTATGAATGAATTATCTGACTATATTTTATTATTATTTACAATTTTTTCAATATTTACAATACATACTTTAAGTATATATAAACAGAAGCTAGAAATCATGATAATGTTTATTATTATAAAATTAATATAAATTGAATATATTTTGGAATTTTTTGTTTATAGACAAAAATAAAAGATTTTCCCCTTAAAGTATTTGCTTGAAAATTCGCAGCCAAATTTTTAATTTTTCAGTAGGCAAAATGTATTTAAATATTATACATTTCTTGAATAATATATATACATACTTTGCAAGAAGTCAAGCTATTTAATTAAATAATATTATAAACGATTAATTAAAAATTAAAAATAAGCTAATAAAGTAAATTATTATAAACAGCTAAATTAAAATCTTTGTTCATTTTGCATTGCCGAAAAGCAAGAAAAATTTCGTGAAGATAGAAGAAATTGTGGAATTAAACGCTTGTGAGTAATTTGGCAAAGTCTGTTTTGAGGCGAGCTGGAAAGACAACAGCCAGAGACACATTAAGCTGGTTGCTAAGGCGTCGGAATGTGTGTCGCCTGTATAAGTAAATAGAAACATTCTAATTTATTTTTAATGAATAAAAAACTGAAGGTCTTAACTTGAGCGCAAGCGGGCCAAAAAATTAATTATCGTTGGCAAACAGTGCGAGAGAAAAATCATTGCAAGTTCGTCCTATATAAAAAAGATATATATATATATATATATATATATATATGTGTGTGTGTGTATGTGTATGTTTGTAAGCTGTCTGCTTAGGCCCGCCCGCGTATTTCATTACAGGCGGCGGCACTTGAGCGTTGTTAAGCTAAAAGTAAATTGCTTATTAAAAAGCAGCCTCAGCGTTTACACACGCCATATAGAGAGACTGGACGGTGACAGTGGCGGGGGGTGGTGGGTAGTGAGCCACTCATTTACACTTCAAGTGGCAGCAAAAGCGAGAATTAAGTGAGTGGGAGCTGCAGACAACACATGAGACGAAGTCGCTGGCAGGGGCTTGTCTGCCAGAGGTAATGACAAAGCGCCAAGCAAAAGCTGAAGCTGATGCTGAAGCTGGAGCTGGAGCTGGAGCTGGCGCTGTTGCTGGCAGGATCTGTGTGAGAGAGAGTGCGCGTTAAGGTCCTTGAAGCAATCGACTTAATGCTCAGCCTGTTGTGTATTTAGTTTGCATTTACATTACACACACACTAACACACACAAGCATAAAGAGCTCGAAGGACAACCGCACACATGACTTGCTGCCCCGCTAGAGGGGCGCACATTTAATTTTCTACACATTGTGCCATGTCCTGATAGATTAACTGGGTATCGGCTTTGCCAGCGTGCATGTGTGTGTGCCAAAATAAGTTGTGTCCTTGTCACACACACACACGCACACACAGACACACAGCCACATAGAGCAGCGTGACTCTATGCTACTTGATTGGATGACTGAGACACAGTTCGAAAGTCAAGGTAGCTCGAATTGGGCATTGGGCGTGCCTTGGCTCTGTGTATGCAGCACGCTTCAATGAATTTTTGTCAACGTGATTCGCATTAGAATGTGTATTCAAATGAGTACATAATTTGTTTGTTTGTCTGTGTGCAGTTAGATATGCATAAATATCGAGGCGCTGAGTTGTTCGCATTTTATGAGTGCAATTATGAGAGCATGGGGACTGTGCGTGTGTGTCACTGTGTGTGAGTGTGAGTGTGGGCGTGTGTCTGTGAATGCCTTTGATATAAATTTCAAACAAATTGCAAATAAATTGGAGTTGTCTTGGCGTCGCCATTGTCAACCCTGAGTCTCTTTAGTGTGCCCCACAAGTTATTTAAAATATGTAAATTTCCTGTAGCTCATAGTCAAGCCACCCTCGCTCTGCATCACTTACATCCTTATCCTCATACAAACACACACACACACGCAATCGTAACAACCCCACAGCTTTTATTGCTGTTTAGCTTTGTGTCGCCAGTTTAAAGACAATTTTCATCACTGCTGGGGCTTCGCAAAGTCGCTTAAGAGCACCAGCTAGGCATATTCCATGGCATTTAATTTACTTGAGCTTGCTAAGCCAACCCCAAGCGCAGCCAGAACCAATCATTAAGCATTGCCTGTCATTTTATAATTAAATTTTATACTAGTTGCCGGCCATATGCATATCCGGCTGAACTTTGGGCTGTGGTTTGTCTGCAGGGCAACACAAGTCAAACTGAATTGATTTAAATGTTAAAAATGCAATTTGTTACTTATTTTATTTACACATGCACAAGCTGATGCTGATGCTGATGCTGATGGACAGCTGGCGGACATGCGCTTATTGCATTCAGTTGCATCGCCAAGCGGAAACAATAAATATAAATCGCTTCGAGTGTTTATGAAGGCCTCGCAGCGTATGCAAATAAGAAATCAACAATGATACAGCAAGGCATTTTATTTAATTAAATTACATATATATATATGTGTATAAATATATCTATATACATATATCTGAGTATTATTAGTTATTCATCAATCAGTTCAATGAATAAATTTTCATGCAGCAGCAGAAAAACTATTTTTTGTCCAATAATAAATTTAACTTTACTTTAATTGATTTAACTGTTTTTTGTTTAATTTGGAAAATATTTGTTTTGATTTTCTATTTATTTGTAAGAAAAAACACGGCATATAATTTAATTAATATTCATATAAAATAATATATACGCTTGCAGCAAGTGGATACAATTTTAAAGAAATAACATTTGAATTTTTTTGAATATATTTTGCCATTTTGAAACCAATTTTTTTTATTGATTTTATAAACTAAAAAAGTTTTAACCACTTTCAAAATTTTAAAATAAAATAAAATATTTAAACTGCGCAAATGCCAAAGGAAACATTACGGTTGACCAAATATTTGTGCCAGCACTGTAAAAAGTTTTCCTTTATTTATATATTATTCATTTTTCTCTTTTTTTGTGAATTCTTTGAACTGTATTGTCGCATGTGATATTTTGTGTAATGACGGCTGATTTCAGCGGGAGACAAAACACTCAGCAAAGCTCAGGCATTTGCAGGATTTATAGTATGGGCTCCATCAGCAGGCAGCTGCCTGCTGGCAAGCCCACTTCAGGCAGTCTGCTTTATTTTCGCGCATTTGCTGTTGGTATAAAACAATATTAATAAATTTGGTGGCAATTTAGAGGAGTACGAGCCTTTTGTTGCCATCGCCTCTTTGACTTTGAGTTTGACTATTGTCAGCCTCAAATCCAGACGAACAGCGCCCAGAGCAGCCCTTGGGGCAGAGGCGGGCTCAATTTTATTTAGCCTGCGGCTTCAGTTGCTGCGAATTGTAAACTTTCCATCGGATTCTCTGTGTGTATGGCTGTTGCTTCTTCTTCTTCTTCAGCTTCTTGTAACTGTTTGTGTTTGTGGAAAAGTTTTTGCTCTTTTTCGTACAATTTATTTGTTTGTTTTTGTTCGAGTTTTCG